GCACGTGCAGAGGCCCCCTATGGTACGTGCTTTACTCTTGTTATCCTATGCTCTATTTTTTTGGCTTTGCGACCTGCCTACGAGACATAGCTGGGATTGCTTTTTCTCTCGTATGAAAATAGACATATCATAATCCACTATTCTTCTAGGGTTGCCCCAGGCACCATTACTGTCATATGGTACTAAAAAGCAAATATAGATTTCTACGAGATCCCGTAGAGACCAAATTTATTTCAAGCAAAATATAGTAACCAATATTATTGAAGTTTTACAACTTGACTCATGTGCAATGGACTAAGAACACGGCTAGGAAACCTTCTTCGGGACTAAAACCCAACCACACCCTACTCTATCGCTTCATGGCCAAGTGAACACTCCACACTGCTGGACTAACTGCTTGCATCTTCGTCGCCTTCAACTGCAGCTGCATCCGATAGCCTAGCATGGTACTGCTTGAACATATTCATGTACTTCATTTTGTTGTAGGGTGAATCGGCAAGCACAACAGGTAGCTCTTTTCTGAATTTCTCGATGTACGCCTGCATGCAAGGATATGTTAGTATCGTTCCTTTACCTTCAGAAAATGATAAAATTTTAGGTGTTACTCTACGTACTTCGTCATATTGCTTGCTCAGTTTTAGTCCCATAAATAATTCGATGTTCTTCAGCATGTACAGTGCACAACATGAACTGCAACATTTTATGTTGTTAGATCAGCATTTCAGATATTAGCAATCTAAAACAAAAACAATAGCTAATATTTTTGACTGACGTTTCATCGGATTTTGCCACTTTAATGTTCCGTACTGGCCATTGCGTCACGTTAATGTCTTCCCATGCATTGCTTTCTATCCCATTGACTCGCCTCGCTGCTCTCAGATGTGCTTCCATCCCACGTACCTGCAAGCCCAATGGGATGAGAAGTTGCCTATGACTAATTCATGTGATCAGACCATACATGAGTATTCGCAGTCCTCGAAGAAGGGAATGCTGGCTTGGCATGCATTGTCCATCTTTTCTTGGTTTTTTTGAAATGTGAGTACACCAAGATGATCCAGAATGCAGAATATATGTGCGCATGGGTAATCCTGACTTTCCAACTTTTTACATTTACAAGCTGCATCATCCAGTCTTGCTCCTGTAAACAGACAAGTCACATGATATATAAAATCCACATGCTTAGCATCCACGCCTTGTGCATCCAACTTTTTTGCATCCAACTCCTCATTGTCCTTACCTTCCAAGTCATTGGGATCCTTAGCATACAGGTTTTTGGCATGCAAGTCCACACCATCCTTGTCTTCCAAGTCATTGGGATCCTCAGCATCCAAGCTTTTTGCATGCAAGTCCTCAGCATCCTTACCTTCCAAGTCATTGGGATCCTCAGCATCCAAGTTTTTTGCATGCAAGTCCTCAGCATCCTTACCTTGCAAGTCATTGGGATCCTCAGCATCCAATTTTTTACATGCAAGTCCTCATCATCCTTACCTTCCTTACCTTGCAATTCTGTAGCATCCCTGCCATATGGGACTTTATCATATGGGCCTTTGTGCAAAACTCCAAACATGACCAAACCCTCACATGCTACACGGTCCGTGACCTGCCAATTTGTCCCTTCGACAATCCGACGCTTTACCTTTGGAAACATCACAGTTGTATAAATATAAGAGGCAGCAATCTCCACAGGGTGTGCATTCAGCTTAGTGAAGGGTATCGTATCTGTTGCTACTACGTCTAATGATGCTTCATTCTTACGCATTATGGATACACAGTGCTCAACATGCTGCAACAAATCAACAAGCTGCATCTTCCTATTCAGGTGCACATGAAGCCTTGAGTTGAGAGACTCACTCCTCTGATTACTCATCATGCCTAGGAAATATCTACCCTTTGTGTACGCAGCAGCCCATTTGTGTCGCAGCTCGTACATCCTGTTAACCCATGACGACCTCTTTCCCGTTGGTTTTATTTTGAACCGAACCTTATAAGCCTCCCATCTTTTCTCAAACTCATCAACATCCCAACGACGGTAAATGAATTCCCTAAATTCCTCAAGCTTTTTCTTGCAGAGATGCATCACCATATTCTCCTCGATATGCCATGTGCACAAACGATGATCTGTTCCAGTCCAGACAGTAGCTATTGCTTTAGCCATTGAACCGTCCCCATCAGTGATTGCTGAAATGGGTGCCCTCTGGGACATTGCCTCCAAAAATACATGAAGAAGCCACTGGTATGATGCAACTGTCTCGTCTGACACTAGACCGACCCCAAACAAAACTGTGCTGCGGTGATGGTTCAGACCAACAAATGGAGCAAACGGAAGCCTATACTTGTTAGACCGGTATGTACTGTCGAACACCACGACACCACCAAAGGCAACATAGTCAATCCGGGATTGTGAATCAGCCCAGAATATGTTCCTCAAATGGCCTTCTTTGTCTTTTGTGTATTTGAAAAAGAATTTCGGGTCTGCTTTTTCTGTGCAATCATATAGGTAAGCAAATATCTAGCGTCACTGCCTTCTATCTTCCGCTTCTTCTGGATTGAAACATGGTTGTATAGGTCTCGATCTATAAATCCAAGCTTGTCGGGACCTCCGGCATTCTTCTCCATTACATTCATAATCTGATGTGTTTGAAGTCCACCAACAGCATACTCGATGACATCGGCCTTTTGTGCGTCAGTCATTCTACGATGAGCTGATAAGTAGGGAGTCAGGTCAGCAGGGACAAACAGATGGTTATGCTTGTCCACAAAATTCTTGACGAACCAGAGGCCACTACTATCTTGTAGCTCAACCTGAAAAAGAGCGGGACACCCACACCGAGAAAGACCCCTCGGTGTTCTTTTTCTATCAGCTCTGTTAAAGTGCTTAAGGGCCCGCCAGCCTTGTTTGCAGCACTTGTATGTCCTTCTGTATGCATTTTGTTTCGGACCCGGACCCCTATACTTTAGATCATCCTTTCTAACACCAAACCCTTTTTTTCTCGCATAGCCTACGTAGAACATGTAGGCTTCTTCCTCAGTCCTGAAAGTCTTCTTCACAATCTCTATGTATTCCATACACTCATTCAGATCTGAACCAGCCATGCCTTTAATGTCAATTCCTTTACCTTGCATGTGTACATCATCCAGGTCTATGCCATCTTTGCCTGCATCCTCATTATCGTTATCATCCGTGCACGTACCATCCATTCCTTTGCCTTCGTTTCGTCTATCACCCATGTCCTTGTCATCCTTGCCTGTATTCCCCAAGTTTTTGCCATCGTTGCCTTTATCATCCATGTCGTTATGCTGCCAACGAAAACAGATAGTCAATGTTACAGATGGATAGCATACATAATAATTATGCAATACTCTGCTTAAATAATCAATTTAATTTTTCATATCGGATTCATGTACCAAACTCAGTCCTTCAAAAGCTGTAAGTAAGTATAAAATATTCCCTGACTAAATCTAGAAATATTTAATTGATTGTACTTGTTGTAACTGATGATCTCCTAACTAAATCCAAAGTGCACGAATCTTTCAAGTCCCCTGATAGATCCACCCTGATAGATCAATTATCTGCAAACTCCATTCAAAATTGTGTCCTAACTGAATCCAAAATTATCACCTAACTAAATCCAAATTATCTCGTCACTAAGTCGAAAATATCTCCAAACTCTATACAAAAATAATTATCTCCTAACTAAATCCAAAATATCTGGAAACTCAATTCAAAAGCATCTCCTAACTAAATCCAAAATAACTTTCTTTGAATCCAAATCTGCTGACAAATTCTTATGGCACATAACCCTAACTAAGTGCTTTAATATGTCCTAGCTAAATCCGACTTACACTTCCTTTGAAAAAAAATCTTTTCACAACTTTCTGAAACCATAAACCCTAACTAACTACATCAACATGCCCTAGCTAAATCCAACTTACACTCCCTTTCAATAGAAATCTCGTCACAACTTTCTGAAACCATAAACCGTAAACCTCACATGACATATCCTAAACCCTAATCAAATCCGACCCCTATTGGTACAATAAGCATAAGGGACCAGCAAAGATTTGAGATGGCTAGGCACTTACAGCGAAGACCCGGCGTGAAAAAGTTGATGCACGTCGATGAGGATGATGTGGCCTCTCGGGTCGGGGAAGGTGGCGTCCGCTCGGGGAAGGAGGGGAGGCTCGTCGGAAGATCTGGCGCCGCGACCCGAGTGGGGTGACTTCCGATGGAGGGGGAGGGGGGAGTAGGAGCAGGAGGAAGGACCGACACGGTGATTGCGATCGGCGGCGATCGAGGGCGCCGAGGTTAGGGCTCGAGAGGAGGAGAGAGGACGAACCGCTCGAACCAAATTTCAAAAGAGTACGCGCGATGATTGGACCTCTATAATGAAGTGTTTTATTAATGCAATTAATTTAATTGAAAAAATTTGGACGAGAATACCCCTGGACTTAATTGGGCCGATTAAAGGTATAAAAAAATTTAGGTCAAAAATACCCTTGGGCTTCAAAAGGCCCAGTTATTCTAATCCGTTAGATATAATACACGTGATTTGGTGTATTATCTCCCTAGTCAAATACTTAGCGAGATAAGCCTATGCTAAAACCAAACGCACCTTACAACCTACTCGCCCACTGACACAACCCAACGAGAAGAGAAACCATGAGTGTGTGGACGCTGTTTCCCAAACGCAAACCCACGCACGCACGCTGGCACCAATTCACCATCTGTACCACAACAATCGTCGAGTGAAAAAGTTGCTGCTTGTCGGTTTCCTCGTAACACGCGCCTTGCTAGCTAGCTCTCCCTCGGCCTCACCCCGTGCATGGATGTCGATCGGTCGCTCCCCTCACCCTCGCCCTCCCCCCGCGCTAGTATATAACCATCCCAGCCATCCACCATCCCAACCCCAACCCCATCAAGGAGCACACAGACACAGAGAGAGATACTACTGTGCTAGCTAGCTGGATTTTGGGAGACAGTGCGTTTGTGTGTGCGTGCGATGATGGAGGCGCACATGGAGCGGGCGCTGCAGGAGGGGGTGACGGAGGCGGAGCGGGCGGCGCTGGAGGGGACGGTGCGGGCGCACCACACCTTCCCGGGGCGGGTGCCGGGGGCCACCTGCACGTCGCTGGTGGCGCAGCGCGTGGCGGCGCCGGTGCGCGCGGTGTGGCCCATCGTGCGCAGCTTCGGCAACCCGCAGCGGTACAAGCACTTCGTGCGCACCTGCGCGCTCGCGGCCGGCGACGGGGCCAGCGTCGGCAGCGTCCGCGAGGTCACCGTCGTGTCCGGCCTCCCGGCGTCCACCAGCACCGAGCGCCTCGAGATCCTGGACGACGACCGCCACATCCTCAGCTTCAGCGTCGTCGGCGGGGAGCACCGCCTCCGCAACTACCGCTCCGTCACCTCCGTCACCGAGTTCCAGCCGGGCCCCTACTGCGTCGTCGTCGAGTCCTACGTCGTCGACGTGCCCGACGGCAACACCGAGGAGGACACCAGGATGTTCACCGACACCGTCGTCAAGCTCAACCTCCAGAAGCTCGCCTCCGTCGCCGAGGAGACCGCGGCGGCGCCTGGCTCGCGGCGGCGCGACTAGAAGAGATGAGACCAGAAGAGCGCTCCCGGCAGTTCGTGGTGGGACCGCGCAACCTGGCGTGGTGGCGGCGGCCGGACGGCGCCGTGGTTGTTAGTTGGAGACTTGGAGTACTCTGCTATTTCGCACCCTTTTCCTTTTCTGTTTGTTTTCTTCGCCCTTTTTCCGTTGGTGTCGAAAAGAGCCTTCGGCGTGAGCAAGCAGCCTCCTTTTCTTGTGTATTATCATCATCTTTGTTCTTTTCTGTGGCTGCCGTTTGTGCAATTTCTGAGTTCCTGATGGCTGGCGACAGCGATGCTCAGCATGGGGAAAACTCAGGTAGCTGCCGCCGGTTGCTCTCAACAAGATGGCCCTGCGATCATATTTTTACATTTCATCTTTGTACCGTACCGCGAATACAATAATGTTCTCATTCTAATCAATGTGCAAACGGATTGAACAGCTGGGAACTAGATCCTCAGTAGTAATTCCCTTCAAAACAGAGAGATTCCTCTGTTTTTGGCATCCTAGATTGCTAGTACTAGTAAGATCGAAATTGCAAAAGCCGTTCCATCCCCATTTTAGAAAATCAGGCGATTCCGAATAATCCCTAGCACTAGCAGGATCAACGCTAATTAAATTGTAGTACAGCTACTACTATTGGTTGAGCGAATTTGACCAGATTAATGGAACCAATCAGAAGAGTGGTTGCAAAAGCAGTGGCCACCGTTTCTTGCTAGCCAAAGCGCAGCGCCACTTATAAAAGAGCAAGCGGCATGGATTAAGATTAGGACAAGTCGGTCCTTAAAGCAAAGCTTCTCCGGGAGAGGTGTGTGCACAATACGCCCGGGCGGTGGTGACCAGGGAATAACTGGGTAGCAGCTGACTAACAGCTAATTGGGTGGCTAAGCCGCTCTGTGGGGTCACTGTGCGGCTTCATGGGTCTCACGACTTTTTCCCAGCACTTTATTTTTTCAGAAAGGAAGGATAGGCAAACGGAAGACAGTACTGCAGATAGAGATATTGTATTGATATTATATACAGTCCTCTGCCAATTAGTATAGTGTCTATTTCTTCAGGTGGTGTCCAAGGATAAAAAGGAAACGAAAAAGATAACAGCCGAACGATCAGATTTTTGACATCTTGTCCCGAACGCCCTGGTTGTCATTGGATCGAGGGCACGAATGTGAATGCACGCAACTCGCCACGTGATCACTGTTGTCTCGTTCGAATCCAGATCGAATTCATCCGAATGACCCATTTTCCCCACGCCCACACCCACTTCCCCCACTCCCCACTTCCTCTAATCTCATCCACCACCCACTTTTCTCACGCCCGATTCATCCATCCCTTCCTCCCACGGCGACCTCCCGTGGTGATCCCCTGGAGATGGTAGCACACAGACTTGGTGTTTTTATCCGCGCAGTGGGGATCTGGTGTCCCGGTAACGAATGAAGGCGGCGGCGGTTGTCGTGGTTCTAAGACTGACAGTAGAAAGAGGATAGGTATGGAGAGGCAAGATCTCAGCTACGGTGAAGATATACACACGAAGTTTACGAGTTCAGGCCTTTCTTGGAGGAAGTAACAGCCCTACGTCTCGGTGCCCGGAGGCGGTCGATTGGATTATGTGTGTGCTATTATAGGGGGTGCGAACCCTTGTCCCAGAGGAGGGGGTGGCTTATATAGAGTGCGCCAGACCCCAGCCATCCTCCATTACAAGGGGCTTAGTGTACATAAAGTAGGGGCGTTACAGGTAACGCCAGCTGAGGGAGTCCTGAATTAGGAGGTGTCCGGATGGCCGGACTAAGACCTTTGGCCGGACTCCCGGACTATGAAGATACAAGATTGAAGACTCCGTCCCGTGTCCGGATGGGACTTTCCTTGGCGTGGAAGGCAAGCTTGGCGATACGATATGAAGATCTCCTCCCATTGTAACCGACTCTGTGTAACCCTAGCCCTCTTCGGTGTCTATATAAACCGGAGAGTTTTAGTCCGTAGGACGAACAACAATCATACCATAGGCTAGCTTCTAGGGTTTAGCCACTCCGATCTCGTGGTAGATCTACTCTTGTACTACCCATATCATCAATATTAATCAAGCAGGAGTAGGGTTTTACCTCCATCGAGAGGGCCCGAACCTGGGTAAAAACATCGTGTCCCTTGCCTCCTGTTACCATCCGCCTAGACGCACAGTTCGGGACCCCCTACCCGAGATCCGCCGGTTTTGACACCGGCATTGGTGCTTTCATTGAGAGTTCCGCTGTGTCGCCACCATCAGGAAGGATGCCGCATCCCGTCTTTAAAGACGGCGTCGTTGCTAAAGGAGCTTTGGCTGTCGGCCAAACTCCGGCTAGGCAGGTTTTTGATGACCGCCTGTCCGGCCGTCGCGCTGACGATGACCTCTCGGGCCATCGAAAGCAACCTTCACATCAGCTCGGAGCTTGCCGAGCAGTTAGATCCGATGGATCTCTTCTCCCTGAACGAGCTCTTGGATCGCATCGCGGCCCTGGGAGTCGCTACTGATTACGACCAGATTGGGCTTAAACCCGATCAGAGAGAGATTAACTCTCCCCAGATCACCCATCACGTCGAAGTGGTGGAAGAACAATGCGGCGAGTCTTCGCCCGCCCTAAGGACCAGATGCGTCCGGATTCCCGATCCCTCCAAGCCGGATACCTGCGGAGGGGAGGATGTCGCCCAAACCCTGAACCTAAAGTCAGGCAGCAGGCTCGATTCATTGAATAATATCCAAGAAAGCAAGCTTCCAAATTCGGAAACCGCTCGGCCCCTGAATCTTACATCGGGCAGGGTTCCGGATTTAATTCCACCCGCCCACCCAACTATAGGGGATTTATCCCTAATACGGCAAGAGTCCGGAGAAACAGTACACCACTACTGGGCCAGATTCCTCCTGGTTATGAACAGGATAAAGGACTGCCGTGAGAAAGAAGCAATTTCACTCTTCTGTAACAACTGCACGGACATCGGAATCCTCAACGCCATAAGTCGCCGCGAAATTACGCGATTCGCCGACTTGACATCCATAGTACGAAAGTACTGTGCGACTGAAAGCGTTCGGAACACTGAAGATAAATTCTGGGACAATCCGGCCCCGAATATAACACGAGTCTGAAACAAAAGGACGCATTATCGCCAGGCATCTGAGCCAAACATCAAAAAACAAAAAACCTCTACAGGGTACAGGACCGTACTGGAAGGATGGCTCAATGGACCCTGTAAAATTCATAATTCAGGGAAAGCCACACCAACGCACAGCCTCAGAGCATGTTGGATACTACGGCAGGTGGCCAGAAGTGGCGAGGAGCTTTTAACTCCAGCACCCAAAGAATACCTCCCCAGTACGGTGTGGACAGTCTTCGAGACCTTCACATCAAACAATGCAAGGAAGCGAATGCTCCGCAACCTTGCCGAAGTCTACCAAGTAGCAACAATAAACCCATGGAGTGACACGGCTATCACCTTTAATGCCAGTGACGAACCTAAATTCCGGACAGCCCGAGCACCAGCCGCATTGGTCCTCTGTCCGATAGTGGACGGCTTCCGACTTACAAAGGTACTCATGGATGGCGGCAGCGGACTCAACCTCATCTACGAGGAAACCCTGCGAAAAATGGAAATTGACTGAAGCCGCATTGAGCGAAGCAACACAACTTTCAGGGGAATAATCCCAAGCCGGGAAGCGTGCTGTTCAGGAAAAATCACACTGGATGTGGTGTTTGGCACGCCGGACAATTACAGATCCGAGGAGGTCACGTTTCAAGTGGCCCCGTTCAGCAGCGGATACCACGCTCTGCTAGGGCAAGAAGCATTTACAATTTTCCAAGCCATACCCCATTACGGGTACATGAAGCTCAAAATGCCCGGACCCAACGGAATCATCACTCTCGCAAGTGATCCGGACATAGCGCTCCGCGCTGAAAACAAGACAGCCGCACTGGCCCTGGAGGCATTATCTGAGGCCCTAGCGGCCGAGGAATTAACGGTGTTGCGCTCTACGGTGGACAGGGACGATGTGATACTAGACAAGAGATCCAAGTCCACCTCTTTTAAACCAGCGGATGAAATAATCAAATTCCAAGTCCATCCAACGGACCCTACAAAAATGGCCTCCATCGGGGCACAATTAAAACCCGATGTAGACACTGCACTCAGAGACTTCCTGCGAGAAAATTGGGACATTTTTGCCTGGTACCCCTCGGATATGCTAGGAATCCCACGCAGGCTGGCCGAGCACAGCCTGAACATCCTAAAAGGGTTTAAACCCGTCAAGCAGACCCTACGGCGTTTTTTCGAACCCAAGAGACAAGCCATGGGAGAAGAGCTAGCAAAACTGCTGGAAGCTGGATTCATCAGAGACATAAAACATCTGGACTGGCTAGCAAACCTGGTGATGGTACCAAAGAAGGACAAATCTTGGCGCCTATGTGTCGATTTCAAAGACCTAACCAAGGCCTGTCCAAAGGACCCTTTCCCACTCCCCCGAATTGATCAAATCATCGACGCCACCGCAGGACACGACTCATTGTGTCTCCTCGATGCATACTATGGCTACCATCAAATCAAGATGGCAGAGTCAGACCAAGCCGCAATGGCATTCATCACCCTATACGGCCCATTATGCTTCAACACGATGCCTTCGGGCTCAAAAACGCCGGCGCAACATATCAGCGCATGATTCAGACATGTCTGGCCAACCAGTTCGCCAAAACAGTTGAAGCATATGTAGATGGCGTGGTCGTCAAAACAAAACACGTCGATACTCTAGTAGACGACTTGAGGCTCACATTCGACAATCTCCGAACATACGACATTAAGCTCAACCCGGAAAAATGCGTTTTCGGAGTACCAGCCGGAAAGCTCTTGGGCTTCATCGTATCCGGTAGAGGAATTGAAGCAAACCCAGCCAAGATCCGAGCTCTGTCACAATTGGATACCCCAAAGTACCTCAAACAAATACAAAAACTGACAGGATGTGTGGCGGCTCTAAGCCGCTTTATCTCCTG